ATTAAAACGTTATGTCCAAAATTCGATAATATCAAGGAAAAAACTTGGGTGAATCTTACCAAGAGCTATTGTGGACAAGTTTACCCTGGTCTTGAGGGGGGTGTAATTCCGTTTGTCTCGGAGGAGAGAAATCGATTGATGGCCTCGATAGAGAAGTTATCCGCGATTAAGTACGCGGCCTGGGGTAGAGAGCGGGACCGCGGAGCGGGCACAGCAGCAGCAGCAGCTCGGCCTCAGCCCTGCTCGCAGGGGGTGCGGCGGCGCTGCTGGTGCGGTCCTCGCCCTCCCCTAGACGCCCCCCCAAAACGTCCCTTGGACCGCATTTTGTGCGATTAAGGGTCCGGGATGATCCCGGAATGGTCCGCCATCACAAAACAATCCCCTCTCTCCCGCGCTCCACCCTGCCTTGCGCTCGGCTCCCCCTTCCCGCTCCAATTGGGAGCACTTTAGGCCTGCCGAGGGGAAAGGGGGGAGGGGGGAGGCTCGGGGTGCCTGCCGGGGCGCCTGCCCCGCTCTGGAAACAACAAAGTGACGGAAAGGTCACCAGGGTCGCCACGCAAAACTCGCTCTTGCCCGTTTTTGCGCCCCCCCCCCCTCGCTACTACTCTTTATTTTTATTTATTTTTTTTGTCCCTCGGAAGTGTTATTGGCTGAGCCAAGTTTCACGGCGGACGACGACCACCCTTGACTGACCCCAAAGAAACTTGTGTTGTGTGTCGGACGGACACGAGCGAGCGTATGTGCGTCTGTGTAGCATTCGTGCGCGCGCGCGCCCATGTGTGTGTGTGTGTGGGGGGGGGGCACCCTCTCTCCCCCTCTACCACTCACCCTCTCTCCCCCTCTCCCACTCTCCCCCTCTACCACTCTCCCCCTCTACCACTTACACCCTCTACCACTTACAACCTCTACCACTTACCCATCCCCTACCACTTACCCCCTGCCACATACCCATGGGTATGGTAGTGCACTACCACTCATCCATAGCCACTTACCCCCAACCACTTACACCCAACGACTTACACCCAACGACTTATCCTTGCCACTTGCCACTTACTGCCTACCTTACCGCTAACATGCACTTCCCCCTTAACTTCCCACTTCGACAGACACTTGTACCGCTTACCCCGCTTCCGCTTTTCCCCTACTTCTTACCGTCTACCTCCTACCTCTCACCCGAGCTCTCACCTCTTACCCACCAAGTCTCACCCCTCTCTTCTCACCCGCACTCGACGTTTCCTAGGACGCGGCTAGCCCGGTCTCGCCGCCGAGAAGGACTAACCCCAGCCCCCCTCACCCTCACGCCCCTCCTGGACGGAAGTTATCTCCCGTTATAAGCCGCCGCCCGCCGGTCCCCTTCGGTCCCGCGCTGCCCTCCAGGTTTTTCACCTGCGCTCCGGATAACACTCGAGCGCCGCAAATGTCCCGAGCAACGATTTATGAGGGACATTCAAACCGCGCGCCGCACCACCAGGACCACCACCACCACCACCACCACCAGGACCACC